GACACAAATAGAGACAGTCAGTGAACAAAGAGATGAAGATGCAGTAAAGCCTCATGTTCAAGTCTGTGGTCTTGCTGCATGTGTCTGTCAGACTGATCTCATGAAATGGCGTATGTATGACACGCCAATTCGTATTTTCATTTTTGGCGTGCTATCAACACGCATAATCGCTTTTCAGCGTGTTTATCAACGCCTTTGACTTAACGTTATATTACTGTATTATGTATATATAAATATATGACCTACCCCAACCCCGTCCCTAAACCTACCCGTCACGCAACATGACATCATGACTTTGCGTAAACATACACGCCACTTTCAATTCAAGTGGCGTGTTATCTATACGCATTTTGAGCTATCCGCGTGTATGTCCACGCCGAAATCTTTTGCGTGTATGTCTACGCCGTTAAATGTCCGAGTGATTCCGCGTGTATGTGTACGCCGTTAAATGTCCGAGCGAAACGAAGCAAAATCTATATCTACATCTGTGGAGCGATATTTCTTTTCCTAGGATGGTAGGAGAAGACTCATAAATGGTATTAACCCCAGTGACGGGTAGGTTTAGGGACGGGGTTGGGGTAGGTCATATATTTATATATACATAATACAGTAATATAACGTTAAGTCAAAGGCGTTGATAAACACGCTGAAAAGCGATTATGCGTGTTGATAGCACGCCAAAAATGAAAATACGAATTGGCGTGTCATACATACGCCATTTCATGTCACTGGGGTTAATACCATTTATGAGTCTTCTCCTACCATCCTAGGAAAAGAAATATCGCTCCACAGATGTAGATATAGATTTTGCTTCGTTTCGCTCGGACATTTAACTCGCTCGGACATTTAACGGCGTACACATACACGCGGAATCACTCGGACATTTAACGGCGTAGACATACACGCAAAAGATTTCGGCGTGGACATACACGCGGATAGCTCAAAATGCGTATAGATAACACGCCACTTGAATTGAAAGTGGCGTGTATGTTTACGCAAAGTCATGATGTCATGTTGGTTTACGCAAAGTCATGATGTCATGTTGCGTTTCGCTCGGACATTTAACGGCGTACACATACACGCGGAATCACTCGGACATTTAACGGCGTAGACATACACGCAAAAGATTTCGGCGTGGACATACACGCGGATAGCTCAAAATGCGTATAGATAACACGCCACTTGAATTGAAAGTGGCGTGTATGTTTACGCAAAGTCATGAGTCTTCTCCTACCATCCTAGGAAAAGAAATATCGCTCCACAGATGTAGATATAGATTTTGCTTCGTTTCGCTCGGACATTTAACTCGCTCGGACATTTAACGGCGTACACATACACGCGGAATCACTCGGACATTTAACGGCGTAGACATACACGCAAAAGATTTCGGCGTGGACATACACGCGGATAGCTCAAAATGCGTATAGATAACACGCCACTTGAATTGAAAGTGGCGTGTATGTTTACGCAAAGTCATGATGTCATGTTGGTTTACGCAAAGTCATGATGTCATGTTGCGTTTCGCTCGGACATTTAACGGCGTACACATACACGCGGAATCACTCGGACATTTAACGGCGTAGACATACACGCAAAAGATTTCGGCGTGGACATACACGCGGATAGCTCAAAATGCGTATAGATAACACGCCACTTGAATTGAAAGTGGCGTGTATGTTTACGCAAAGTCATGATGTCATGTTGGTGTCTGTAAGTGGGCCGGTTTTTCTATATTACACAAGCCATCGGGGGTTGGAGATACCATAATGTGGGCTATAAATACTTTCTTTTTTGTACATGTCCTCTGCATATTACTTTACAAAATGTCCTCGGCTCTAAAGCATATCCTGTATGCAAAATTAGGATTTGTGGGAGTAATATCGTAGTACAGGTACATTGAAAATGATATGTAAAAGATACCCAGATGTACTATTCATCTATAAATATATTACATGTGAAATGGCATTTGTGGGCTAATACTGCACACAACTGCACTACAGAAGAGACGTTGTTTTCTTTTTTGACTTTTCAATTTCATATGAAATGAAACCTTGTTGAATTCATGCCACATGAAATGTAGTGTTGGAGGCAAAGTATTAGAAAGTTAATAAAGTGCATGTGTGTGTTCCTCAAGATTTACAGTACACATTCCATTCCTGTTTGTCAAGATTTACATTACTGTAATTTATTTTTAATAATGGTTCTTATGTTGAAAACCAAAAAATGGAAATGAACCGCATTTATTTGAAATAGAAATCTTTTGTAATATTATAAATGTCTTTATTATCATTTTTATTAATTAAATATGTTCTTGCTGAATAAATGTATTAATGTCTCTTTTTTTTTTAAACCGTACATACCACAAACTTCTGAATGGTAGTTTATCACTGTTTCCACGAAAATTTAAAGCAGTAAAAACTGAATTCAACATTGATAATAATAAGAAAATGTTCTTTCTGATGGATCATGTGATACTCTAGAGTAATGATGCTGAAACTTGAGCTTACCTATTACAGGAATAAATTAGGCCTACATTTTAAAATATATTCAAATAGAAAATAGTATTAATAGAATTAATACTTACAATAGAACACAATATAATACTGTTTTTATTGTATTTATCATCAAATAAATTCAGCTTGGTGAAAATAAGAGACTTTAAAAACATCGTTCTTATTTTTTTCCAAACTTTTGACCTGCAGTGTGGAGCAATATATGCTTCATAAGAACTGTGATAGAGTGGCGGCCTCTAGTGGTCAGAAGGAGCGACCGGCCGACAGGGCTTGTGTACGGGCTCCAAATGAAGAAGAGAAAGAGAGAAGGCAACTGAATGAGCAGCACAACATACTGAGGAGAGAAGACTGGTCTATCTGATAGAAAAGAAGTGAACATTCTCTGTGAATGAAAAATTATAATAATGCATCAGCATCAAACAAGAACAGCAAAATGATTTAGCTCATTAGAGGTTGCACATGAAAAAAAAAAAAGATAAAATAAAATGATGGATTATGTTTATATTAGGGCTGTCAAATGATTAATCACGATTAATCACATCCAAAATAAAAGTTTTTTTTACATAATATATGTGGGTGCACTGTGTATAATTATTTTGTATATATATATAAATACACACACATGCATGTATATTTAAGAAAAAAATATTATTTATATATAAAATATTTATATATAATATGAATTATATATAAATCTATATACAGTATATACATGAAAATATTTCTTAAATATATACAAGCATGTGTGTGTATTTATATATATATAAAATAATTATACACAGTGCACCCACATATATTATGTAAAAAAAACTTTTATTTTGGATGTGATTAATCATTTGACAGCCCTAGTTTATATATGATATAAAGAACAGTTACAGTATTGATAAGTAAGTAAGGACAGATAAAATAGTTCATGTTTGGGCAACAATGTCAAAGCCCGTATATAAGATGGGAAAAAAGTCAAACAGCCACAGTTTCACACATTGGTAACAGCCAACCACACCAATGCTGCCAACAGCCTCGCTCGCTCGCTCGTGAAATGATGATCAGTGGATCAAAAGAGTCAAAGGGAAACTAGCTTTAAACGGGAACTTATGTTTGTTTAGTCCACATTTCTTGCTTTGTGTTATTTAGTTTACATGAAGTAGTAGCCTAACTATCCATATCACACACTCTCTCACACACACATGCATGTCCACACGCACACGTGTGTATTTGTGTCAATTTAAATACCTATATTATAATATAATATAATATTAATTGAAATTGCTCCTCATTGCTATGTTTCCACAAAATATAGTGGTTTAGGTTAACGAAAAATGTGCAGTAAGTCTTAGAATTAATAATAATAACAACAACAACAATTATTGCATGGTGTCCAATGCAGTGGACAGATGTATTTTTTTTTGTAAACAACAACACATGTGAATAAATTTGCTCTTTCATGTTTAAAGGTAATGGAACAATTAAAATGTGTTAAAAGAGAATATTACAATGTTATTCAATAATTAATTCTGACATTTCCATAGCAGAGAGAAGCACATTAATATTAAGGGCTGTAACAAATAATTTTAGGGCCCTTGGCAAGATTTGCCTGCAAAAGACAGTGTAATTGTATGGTAACATGATTTTGTCAAATTCTGACAGTAGGAAAGTTCTTTACAACAGTAGTTAAATCCAAGATAAAGGAAACTAAACCACCCTCACATTACATCTCACAGATCGTCAAAAAATAATGTATATATTATTGTTAATATATATTATAAATAATATATATAGTTTTAAAAGATCATTTAAATATTGTAATATATACTGTAAGAGTGGTAAAATACACCTGTTATATAGGCTATATATATATATATATATATATATACGGCAACATAATAATAAAAAGGTGGTACAGATCAATTTAAGTCTAATTTTGAATGAAATTTTTGTGTTATGTAAATAAGCCTATGCGTGATTCAGGTAACAAAGCGTGCATCATTTAAATAACACAAACATATTCATAATGCATCCGTACCTTTTTTATGAATTACTCTCTTCTCAATAGTTATTTATCGGAATAAAACTAGTTAAGTAAATAAGCATTATACCAAAATACATTTTTGCTCAATTATTCAATATGATTGAATCCAAGTAATTTTTAAGGATTAGATCAAGTGCATTTTAACAGTACAGTAAATATTACAATACAGACTATTACACATGACTATCAATATTCACATTGCTGGTATGATTATTGATATTATTAAACTATAGTTTAATTTAATATTTTTAATCAGTAAAATATTTTAAAAAATATATTTTTTTCTTAAAGAACAATGACCAAAATCCAGTGTTTCTAAATATTCTTTATTTGTGTAGAGTAATGTTACAATTCAAACCGATTCAGATCAAATTGTTAGCTTAAATGTTTTGAATATATATCACAATCTTCATAACTGATAAAAAGTATTGTTAAGGTGAATACACAAGTTGTTGTTGTTGTTTTTTTTTACGTACAAACAGTTTAGAAACTGTTCAAAGCAATAGTTTGAAAAGAGAAGAGCGTTCACATCTCAGGCTTTTTCCCCAGAGCTGATCTCGGACTCGATGTTACGTAATGTGCGAGTGTCCACCGATTTCTTCAGTTTCTCAACCCATTTCTCCATCGGGTCGGCACAGATCTCCCTTTGATCTTTTGTGATGAAACTGCATTTTCAAAGAGAAGATGCTTAATGATTTCACAAAGTATTCACAATAGCTATTCATTTAAATTTTAAGACATTACTAAAAAAAATACTTACATGATACCCCTCCTGTGACACTCAAAATGTGTGGTGTGAACACTCACAACCTGCTTTACTGGGATTCTTACATTGGAAAAAGAAAAGCAGCACTTATCGGGACCTTGGCTGACTGCAGGAAGAAATAGAGATGAAAAAAACAACATTACATTGATATAACATTAAATATATATATATATAAATCAAGATAATCTTCACAAATATGCATAAAATTATGATAATTGTAGAAAAAGACCCACATTTACTGCGAGCCAGTGAGCAGCAGGCGAAGAGCACAAGACAGGCGATGAAGATGCAGTGCGGCCTCATGTTTAAGTCTGTGGTCGGTCGATGATCAGATCTTGAGGTGCTGGTTTCTTTATCAGTGGCTGATGGTCTCGAAGATGATAATCTCACTGATTTTATCCGCTTTATATAGGGGTGCGATTGTACTTTCCACTATACAAACCTATAAGTTCTGGCCAACGAGGAACAAGTGACATCACGTGCACGGGGGAAAACCGTGATGTGGTCTGCAGAGGTAGTACTTCCTGTTGTACCCTTCCCCAATTCTGTTAATCTAGTCTAAATTGCTGACAAAGGTAACCTATGAAATTAAGTCGTTTTGAGTTTGTCGTATTTTTTCTTTCTTTCTTTTCCATCGAGGGCATTGGGAATGTCTTTACATTCATGAAGGACCCTCATTAGGACCCCCAGATAACATGTCTTGCATAAGCAATTTCAGGTTGCATCTTCTCAAGAAGAACCCCCATGTTCTTAAGTGCAGAGCGATGCAAGAAAAGTCCCTTTCTGCAAATGCATGGTGGAAATGAGTCTGGGGCTCAATGCAGGAAACAATGAGCTCTACTTGTCGGTGAAGGTGGAAAAGTGGTTGGGCTGAAAGTGTTTCGTGCGGTTAACAGATTTGCACACAGTGTGATCTGAACACAGTTAATATCAGCAGTTACTCACTTGGTTCATACCACATAAATTATGCTTTATCACGATTTGTTATCATGTTTGCAATCAAATTAACCACAGACATATGAAAAAGTCATATTGAGTAACATTTTTCTATCCGAATACTGTTCGGTTCTTACTATGATTTTTCAAATAGTTTGTTTGTTTGTTTTTCAAACATTACATCACCTCCTCGAACACCATTGCACTTTTTCTTTATGTATACCTACCCGTTTCAACCATGCATAAACATGAAGTGAGAAATTCCATCAAAGATTGACAGATGTCAGTATCTCCATTAAGTCTCACATACCTCGTTCACAAGTAAGTATTTCTCTGCGTGAAATCTAAGACGGAAGTCTAAAGAGAAAAAATGAATAATTAGTTACACAGTGCGTTTCAAACCATGGCATCACAACAACATTACTAAACACTATGTAGTCAGTTTTGAAGATATCTAGTGACTCATATTGCTAGAAACAAGTCATAATGATCATTTCAGTAAATATGTCAGAATTATTGTTACATCTTGTTCTTAGTGTTCTTGGTACTTAATGCACACACGTTGGAGTTCATTTGACTACCTGTTTCTGTAAAGGCCTACTCAAAGATGTATGCTTCTTTTTAAAGTTACAGTACCCCCAAAATGAAAATTGTCATCATTTACTCACCTTGTCGTTCCAAACCTGTATGACTTTTCTTTCTTCTGTGAAGTAAATATCTCACATCTCATATCTCTATGTATTTTTTTTTTGTTAGTACAACAAAAGTCAATGTTTTGGACCCCACTGACTTTCACTGTTTGGAAAACAGTGTTATTTTAGGTTTCATTTTAGTTTTATTAATATTTAGAATTAGCTTTTATTTTTATATTTTTAGTTTTCATGTTCATTTTATATGTTATATGGCTTCTATAAAGCCAGGTTTAGTTATTTAAAAATTTAACTAAAAACATGAAATTCTTTTTTTTCTAAAAACCTTTAAACTAAATTTGGATTTACTTGGTTAAAAAACTTTTCAAAAGTATCAACAGAATGAAAAATTTCTTAGAAGTATTACAGTCCAGCAAAATATGTTTTATGGACAGTGGATTCTGACAAGATTAACTTAATTTTTTTTTATATTGCTTTTTTAGGTGTCATTTATTTTTATTTCAGTTTTAGTTTTAATTTGTATTTATTTCCAGTTAATAATTTTAGTGCTTCTACTTAAACTTATTTCAGTTTATTGCCAAGGCAACATTTATATTTTCTAACTAATATTTATATTTTATTTTAGCTTTATTTCAATGAACAGAAATGTTTTTATTTTTTAGTTTTAGGTAAGGATAATAACCCTGATGCACAAAACAGTTCTTTAGAGTATCTTTTTTCATGTTCCACCGAAAGTCACCCTCATGTTGTTCCAGGTTTGGAACGGCATGATGGTGAGCAGATTTTTTTTTTGGTTGGGGAATGAACTATCCTTGTAGTCTGGTTAAAACCAGACCATTCTCAGTAAAACCAGCCGGAAGTTGTCTGTGTTTTCCCAGGCTACTATCCTAGTGTCATTGGAAATTAAACCTCTGCAAAGAACATGACTATAAATGTAATATAAAGCAAAATACACAAAAATAACAACAACAACAACAACAACAACAACAACAGTATACTATTTCACAAAAAGTCAAATCTATCTATCTATCCATCCATCCATCCATCCATCCATCTATCTATCTATCTATCTATCTATCTATCTATCTATCTATCTATCTATCTATCTATCTATCTATCTATCTATCTATCTATCTATCTATCTATCTATCTATCTATCTATCTATCTATCTATCTATCTATCTATCTATCTATCTATCTATCTATCTATCCATCTAAAAGCTTCAGCCTCCCAGAGTCATGCATAAGCAGGTGTGGGTTTTTGCAAAAGCAAGATATGAAACCGCAGAGCTCCAAATAGAACCACAGAGGGAGGTCAGGTCGATGAGAACTGACATTGTATTTTTCCCTTCAACCCCACGTTTACCTGGTAGTCAAATGCCATTTAATTCCAAATTTCTAAATACAATATCGATTGCCAGTATACGTGTGTACATGTATTAGTATATGTACATGTATTCACACATACCAATATTTATTACTTCTACTAATAACAGTAGTTATATACAAACTGTAAAAGAGTGCTAACATGCACCTTAAGGGTCTATTTCTACTGATCTGACCCTTCAAAATTACTTAGGTTCAGTCTTATTGAATAATACTGAATATTAATTTTTTATAAATGAATAGAAATATTTTTGTCCTAAAATAACATTTTTGGGAAAAGAATTCAACTTGTTTAAAGGGATAGTTCACCCAAAAATGAAAATGTTGCCATCATTTACTCATCCTCAAGTTGTTCCAAACCTGTATGAGTTTTTCTTCTGTTAAACACAAAATGTTGGTAACCAGACAGTCGAAGGTAGCCATTGCCTTCCATAGTATTTTTTTCCCTAATGGAAGTCAATGGCTACCATCAACCGAGGGTGAGTAAGTAATGACACAATTTTTGGGTGAACGATCCCTTTAAAAGCTCCCACATGAAGTTTATTTTAAAAATCCCTGACAAAACGCAATCAAATAATATATATTAAATAAATCATTATAAAATAAATAAAAACACTGAATCTTTTTTTTAGTTTTTTTGTTGTTGCCTTGAATAAAACCACCAGATGGTTTTAAACAATGATCAATCAAATGAAACTTTCCATCCTATACAACTCTACGCTAGCATTTTCCAGTGTCTCCTTGGACGCATTATTAGCTTTGATCTTTGGAGAGCTGGTGTACTTTGTGCCACCGGAAAAAGATTAGCCTTTTGTGTCAAAACCTCTCCGATACTACTTTTTACAAACCTTGTAAAAATAAACCAAGAGCCATGAACCTTTTGATCCCGTTCACAAATGAGAAGTCTGTAACATCAAAACCAGATGTCAGGATATCTTACAGCAATAAAATAAGAAGCTTCACTGGCTTGAATCATGGAACCACGTAAGAGGCAGTTCAGGAGACGAGCAACTAAGCGGCGCTATTGCATCTGAAATCATTTAGCGCCCTTAAACCTCTTGTTATGAGAGCAGCTACATAGTGTTTCTTCACAAAAAAGAATACAATACATTCCAAAAGGTCTTAACACTCCCATGAGTATGATTTTTTTAGACCGTAAATAATAATTAGACTGATTGGGATTTTTTTCTGATAAATCAATCCAACTTGTATTATTCTGGAGTCCTCAGTGTCAAACAGTCATAGCTGAATCAATCACTTTTGATGAAACAGCTGTCTAAAAAAAACCCTACACATCCTGTCATGCTTAAAGGCAATTTTTCTCTTGACAAAGGATACAAGAAGCTGATAAAAGGCCTAGGAAAACAGGAATATGTACCTTCCTAAAGAGTACTGGTTGTATTTTTGACTTTCCTCAACCCCTTTCTTATCTACTCGCATAATATCTGCTGACAGAAACACTGTGCTGTCTTAGGAATGTCATTTTTCATTAATGTTGTGCATTATTGTTATCAATTTAGCATGAACCTCATTTGAGAAACAGACCAGTCTCTTTCTTATCAAACCCCTGTAAAACTAAACTTACCATCCATTGTAAGAAGGCAACTCAATCTAGATGGCATTCCAGAAAAGACAACAATATCTTGAATCTTTAAATAAACCATGGACATTGTTGTTGTGTAAATGTAGCTGATAGAACTGATAAAAATGTGATCCCTCTGACAAATAACTTTTGCAGCATTGTCATTGACTCAACATACACGGATATGAAAGAAAGAACTCTAGAGTAGCTATATATTTATTTCTATTTCTAGTTTTAGTACTTCAACCTAAACTTATTTCTTGCCAAGTCAGTTGCCAAGGCTAAATTAATATTTTTTATCTGATATTTAAATTTTATTTCAAAATTATTTCAATTACAAAATTAGTTTTAGTTTTAATTAACAATATTACTGATGGCAATTGAGAACATTCAATATTATGGCACGTTTGCTGATCAACTGAGGCAAATGATGTGGTTGTGGTTTTGACTGTCTGTAAGAAACATCCTCATTTTCAAGAAGATCAGAAGAAAGACATTTGCAAAATGTTACCCTGCAAAAAATAACCACAACAAAAAAATCCCTTCGTCCCCCATTTTGTTTCATCAGAATGTGGGAAATCGCTGAACAAAGACAAATGTGCTAGAAAAATGCCATGTGATGGGATGAATTCAAGAGAGGCGGAGACTGGTAAACAACTCCATAAGAGTTGTTTTGTTGACAAATGCCAATATTGACTGAGTCACTGGCCAACTGTGCACTGAATTTAGGGGTTTATCAAACTGACAAACCATAGACCAATAGCCGTTTTAAAATTGAGCTCATATATTATTTTGTTTCAGGCGATTTAAAGACAGTTTTGGAGGTGTGAATTAAAATAAGAAATATCTTCATATTTAGTTGTTTTCAGCTTATTTT